ATTGCTGTTGAAACACAAACCAACGGGTAATCCTTTATTTACCCACTCAGATTCCATAATGGACAATGATATCAAACGAATCACACGTCTTCACTGCGACTGTTCATTTGCATGGTTTCGGAATTTTCTGCGAGCTAATCCGCATCTCATTGAGAGAACACAAGATGTAGACAATTATAATACTGAGAATTTCATACCGGGCTTTTTCAAAGACTGGAGCAAACGGTCCGTTTTGAATGTGAACTGTGCAAAGAAGTTGAACGTTCATAACATTGATGCCGGTTCCGATTTCTCGTATAACACATCCTGCTATAATCAAAGATGCAAAGAATCCCATCTTGGTAAAAAACGATTTTCCATTTCAAAAGTTTGATGTTCTATAACCTCCTGTCAGAACCAAGGTGAAAGTTATGCGTGGGAACTTTTCGTTATTAGAGGAAAACTTTGTGACTGTTTCAGTAAAGTTGGACGAATCGGTTACCATGCACTTAAGACTGCGCTTCTAGAAATTGATTGTATAACATTTCACAACCCGGCATTTCATGACGTAACGTTGCATGGCGTAACATTTCACAACCTGGACTTTTCACAACCGCAACATTTCATGACCACAACATTTCATGACCGAAACATTTCATGACCAAGCCGGAACTTCTATTCCGCACTTAAAGAAACTTATTGAAAATGCCTAATTAATATTCTCCTTAAATCTGGCCAGAAAACACTTTGCATAGTGCAGAAAACAACGTTATCTTTACTGCTTTTGGCAAATGGTAGAATCAGTAAGGTTAATGTTTTTTCAAACCTAACCATGCTGTCCATATATAAAAAAATTAATTTGACAGTCAAAAAGCGCTCTCATTTGACATTTCAAAAATTAATTTTATACAAATACGGAGATTATGGTAGGTATTACTCTTATTTCTGAAAAGCGCTCTCAAATACCTGTTAATCCAAATAATACCCTTATCATTGCCGCTGATAATTACTGCGATATAGGCAAAAGTAAAAAATAAATCACGACGAAATAGATATCGGGAGACGGCTAAGCGATCACAGTTAAAGCTTACTTGATCCTGTGGCTTGGTTAGATCATCACGAATTTACAGGTATGTGAAAAGGGTCTTTACTCTGTATACAAAGTGGTTGCCAAAAAAAATAGCACAACTGTAACTTTTTTTGTCTAAATTGCTTTTGTGGTACGGATGGTTTATGTCGGTGTTCATATCGGCTTATTCGAATGCGTATTAATATGCCAAAATTCTTAGCGTATAATAATGCACGATTTCAACAAAAGAATAATATTGGTTATGTTACGTGTTTTATATACCTTTCTGAAATTTGCAGTGATTAAAAATGATAATTTTGCCTAGGGTTTGTCTGCTTAACGATTAAACTAAACTAAACTAAATACGAATTCAAAATGTTTCTGACGGTCATGAAGTGTTACGGTTGTGAAGAGTTCTGGTCATGAAATGTTGTGGTTGTGAAATGTAGTGGTCATGAAATGTTACGGACATGAAATGTTGCGGTCATGAAATGTTACGGTCATGCAATGCACTTTGCGAAACGTTACGTTGTGAAATGTCGAGTTATGAAATGTCGTGTAACGCTAGAAATTATTGCTTTTAGAACGTGTACAGAACACAAGTACCGCTTAATGAAGTCACATACAATTATACCTAATCAATGAACAGGTGAAAATTTCCTACGTTATGCAGAATACGTGTATTTGCAAAGTCGTGTACATGTACCTACAATAATGACACACTTATACCTAATTCGCTGAAAAGGGGAAATTTCACTACCCCGTACAAAGTACTGCAGAGTAGTATATAATTATAAAAACTAAGACTGCTGTAGCCGCGCGATAAGTTTGCACCAGAGAGTCTGGTATACGAAAATCGTCATACACGCTGCAGCACGTTCTGCGCAACGTGTGCGCGATCGGAGGCAGGCAGCTCCCGAATCTAAAAGTGGTGCAATGTCATCGCGATTCCCAGTTGTTTCGTTGCGTTGGCTGTTAACGATAGGATCGTACTATGTCAGACCCATATTCCGATTGCGTATTCTAGATAAGGTTAGTGCAGCATCTCCAGTAATTTTGGGCGTAGATGTTAGGCAAGCGTTTACTTGTTAATTCTGCCGATGTGCGGTTGCGTATCAATCGCTTTCCAGTGCGCGGACTAATTTTGGAACATTATCTCTATTTTCCTGTATATCGGCCCGCTAATCTTTGATTTTTGGTTAGTATATGTAAAAGTGCACTTGTTCGTGTATCAATAAGCAACATACACCGTAAGAATTCGGCGAGCGGTTTGACCACATAAAAAGTTCGGGCGGCAGAAAATTCTGCCGACGTTTCGACGTTGGCTTCTATTGTGTTTTGTTGAATCCGTGCAGAGTGGGAACGATAAAAAATTAAACGTAAGCCCTACGATACACCGAATTATAAACCTAACAGTTCTCATATACACTGTCTCAGTTGTTGTCAGGGAACGTAACACTAAATACAGTAAGTGTTGTTTAGTGAACTCAGTTGTTTTGATTGTTATCGTCCCAAGATCGGTGAAGACTACAGTATATGGTAAGTTTGTGTTTCTATTCGTTTTAGAACAAAGGTAGACAGGGCTAACGGCATTCAAATATTCATTTATACATATGTTCATACATTCATACATATGTAGCTTTGCAGTACACATGGACGGCCAACAGAGTGCAGACTAATACTGTGTTGAATTTGTTTTAACATAATCAAGAAGACTCATGTAGCCTAGCACGTAGCGGCCAGAGTTAAGATCAAACGTTAATCCTTTTTTGAACAAGGCCCGGAAACTCGATCGACCACGGCAAACCTGACAATGGGGGCTGCGTTCATTGTGGGTACCGCCCGTACCGGGATTGTACTGATGGTAATCTCTACTGCACTGACTAAAACCGTCCACTGCTCGATAGAAAAATTAAGGGGAAAATGGATTCAGATTGTCCCCACAAGCACGTAGGACGCCGATGAGTTCACTTCCCGCGCTGCGCACCGAATAAATCAGAGACGGACTATTCCAGAGCCGTTCTTGGCAGCCTGTTTTCTGGATACAGCTCACCGACATTTCGTCGACTAACACTTCGTCGACCGCACTTCGTCGATCGTCACGAGGGCGACAATAAAAAACCTAAGAAAACTAAGAAATTTAAGAATGTCAAAAACATAGGAAAGCTAAAAAACCTAAGAAACCTAAGGAAGCTAAGAAAACTGAGGTGGATTAGTTAAACGTTAGTTCGACGTCGTGACGGGTCGACATTGTGTCTGTTCAACAAGTGACGGTCGACGAATTTTCGTAGACGCCTGGCGGGTCGCCTTGATACATCTACCGAGGTCAACCAGCACAGCTAAACTTGGCCAGTGCGGGCGGCTCGCCCCATATAAATCAACGTATGTATATACGCTCTACACAACGGGACTCGGCGCCGGCATTTTATTCAAATGATCAGAGGAGCCTCCTCTGCGCTAGCACAACCGACACCATATATACTGCCACAGCGCAGCGCAGCTGCGCAAAAATCAATAGTCTGACATCACATATCCAGATCGTTCTGGATACTTCCAGAACGCACGTCAGTCATGCACTGATCATGCACTATCCAGCAACAGTAGTCTTCGAAGTCCATTATTCCCTGACAGCAGGGTTTGTCTGCAAGGTAGGATATCGAGGAGGGTACCAGTGCCAACTTGGTACCAGCTAAACGCTTTACCTAATTTGTGCGTTTTGGCCGGCACTATATGGTGACCACAGTGGCACAAGGAGCAGTAATACTTACAGTTGTGGCAGTGGCAGCTGCGGTAGTGGTGGTCGTACTAGTAGGTTCGGTGGCAGTGTCTTACGGTGTATCTGATGTGATGGAGACTGGTCCCCGTAGAGTGCTGATATCTCACGCACGTCGGTCAAGACCCGTCGGTCACTGCCGAATAGCGCTGCACGGGCATTGGAGGCGAGTCAGAGCAAACAATAAGCCGAACACGTTAAGTCAGCCGGACGCAGCCGGACGCAGTTGCAGCCGCTGTGCATTTTTATAGTAATTAAGCTCATAGAACGTTTGTGTCAGTCGTGTGCCTGCACTATAAAATAAATAGAAAAGCGGTGGGTAGCAGACTAGCAGTACCGTTAACTTTAGGACAATGTCGATGTCAAGTTGTCCACATGCTGTATCAGTCGCAAATCTGCTGCGCACCTTTGCTGTACAAAAGTCATGCAGTTATAAATTATGCGGCATGCAGCTACAGATAGTTTTTTGTTAAAAGTGCTATAGTTTCTCTTTGTTGTGTTCTCTCTAACATTCAGGTGCTTTTGCTGCACTTTTTGCAATTTTTTATGCAGTCATTCAGTCAAACAGCAGTGTGTATAGCAGTGTATAGCAGTATTGCGTGTATGGTAGTTAGTAGTATCTTAATACAGCAGTGTGTATAGTAGTGTTGCGTGTGTAGTAGTTAGTAGGTCTTAATACAGAAGTGTGTATAGTAGTGATGTTGACCTACCGTGAATGGAAGAATCTTCAAATTTATTAAAAACTACATTTCAGGCAAATTTGTATGCATTATCTTTTATGCATGTAAATAATTATCCCGCAGTTCATGCAACTTTTTATGCAAGGTTTATGCAAATTCTTATTTATGACCAGTGACCTTATTAAATTTTGTTACGCACTTTCACCCTGGCCATTTGATACAAGCTGTTTAGGAAATTTGATTGCTCAGCAGATTAACAAAACTTGGCACAGCTGACGGAGAAGTTGGTGAGACTACTAATTACTGCCCATGATGTTTCATTCGAAGTTCGCTTAAATATTGAACAATTTCAATGTATGTGTAATACCGCAGATTGAAAATGGAACGGTGTTATATATTATTCGTAACGTTGCCAGCACGTGCTGCAAAATCTGGTAAAAAAGCGACAATAAGTGTTAAGAGAGAAGCGTCATTCTTATTGTTTTATTTCAAATCACAATAATATCGACGGAGTTTATAGGAGCTATTCTAAATGTAAGTACATGAAGTAAAAATTTGAGGGAAAAAAAGTGGCGTTCAAGTAGGACACAAGTACGTGTTAATACAAACTCGTTAGTCATAAAATTCATCGGTTTTGTGACCGATTCTGGTCTCTCGGTATCGTGGAACAGTTTGAATACGATGAAAAAAGAATTCGCAAAGGAAAGCATGTGGGAAAGAGCTACGGACATATGCACTGGATACGAGTATTATGGCACTGAACATCCGTAATTCGGGTCGCATGTCCTTGCTGGCACAAAGCCAGCAGACTCGTTGCTAGACAACGTTAACCCTTTGTGGAATAAGTTCACGAAACTTGATTCTTCTCTGCATGGGATACATTGCCATTTTAGATCCCAGCGACGGTCAGCCTCGAGTTCTCCACTGCATTGCTTGAAAGCATTTACAGCTTTTTGAAAAACCAAATAGTGCACTGGCTCCAGAGAATCCCAGGAAACCTGCGGGATTTTGCCCACTTCTTGTTCGGCAGTGGTAACCGATGGTAGTCCAAGATTGCTAAGGTGATTCTCGATTGGCCAATGGTACCCTTTACAGCCAATTTTCCGGATACATGCTTCAGGGCCAAAGTTGACCAGCAGGGCCAGACTCACACAGCAATGGTTATTGATATCATGTATCTCATCACAATATGGTTTACCTGAAAGGAGTGGTAGTCGCTAATTATACTGTTTTACAAAGACAAACTGGCCAGCGAGTACATAGCCATCCAACCGGTTTATTAACGAGTGGGTTGAATTGCTGTGTATTGGCAATAGTATTGTGTTTCAAATGCAGCCGGTGGCTTGTACAGCCACAGGGGACATTGATACAAAGCACCGTAATATAATTAATAATATATCATTGATCACTGATCATCATAATAACATTTACTGATCATACTGTATTAAGTCGCATTAACACCAAAATTAATTGCTCCAGCATAACGAATAGTAATTTAAAGAAACACTCGCACTGTAGACCACCTACAACATTATCATGATCACCGATTCGCAAGCAATACATAACATAATACAGTATCGTTGTCATTAAAGGTTATTCGAATGTTTCAACAAGGTAAAACCTTACCTGACGGGTGCCTGCCAGGCTGGCCCATTGTGGTGGTCACATGCGTTAGCGACAAAAGCAGAAATCCCCAAATAAACACCATGCTTACTGCTACAGTGGTTTATTATTTAGAGAAGAAGCAAAACAGTAAGTTTTTTCCCTTGGAAAATGTGCCATTTATATTGCAGTACGTTAAACGTTTGAAGTGCCCGATGGTTACGAGAATTCGTGGTGGAATGCATGTAATTTCTGGAACAAGTACTTAACCACGTACGGATCTCAAGTGAAAAAAGTGGTCCAGTCACCACTAAAGGAAAATTTTGCCGGTGTCGCATAAATGTGCGACATAATTCCTATAAGCTGCCGCTTGCACTTCAAGGAAATTTCACTGGATTTACAAAAACACTCCACATCGATTTCCCTGTGTATTATTGGTTCAACGAATTTCGCGACGGACAGCATTAATATCAGATCACGAATCGATTACCTGAGCAAAAATGCGCTACTGGTAAAAATTAGCCGAAAACTTATTCTTCTAAGGAAAGCCTCATGGAGATGCCAACCAGACTCAGCGTAGTTTTCAAGTACCGTTCAACCAGTGTCCTAACCATTTCCGGTGTTTTACTTTCCTGCTGTTTTGGTTACATTACGTATGGTAGCAAAGCAGAATATTATTAGCCAGTTGTATATATCTATGTTTCAATACGTAACGTTAAGGAAAATGGCCCGGTACATAGCGTCAGAAATGGGATACATACACTATAACTTTCGCTTTCGCGAACCACGAATAATGTTTTTGTAATACATCGTATCATTCAAAAGCTAAATGATTTGTATACATTGCTCTGAAAATCGCTTTTGGTACACAACAATGCATTTAAACTGTTCACCCATTTTAATACGCCATATCTCGGCAACCGGATATTGCGCGCGCAAACGGTTTTTAGAACAATGTACGAGTATAGAGATCATTTAGCTTTAAAATGATATAAAGTAGGTATCACAAAAAAGTTTATTCGGAGTGCGCGAAATCGAACGTTTTAGTGTATGTATCCCATTTTTGACGCTATGTACCGGGTAATTTTCCTTAAAGTAACTAAGTACTCTTGAGTCTTGAATGTCTACAAGACTAAAAGTGCCGTAATTAACAAAACGAATTCGAAACGCAAAGTATCACAACAGATCATTAATCCGAAGTCAAGTTTAATCGATACAGGATTTACAGAACACTACAGATAGATGATTTCGCTCTTGTCTCCCTTACTTCAAAGAATTTAACATTGGTAGGTGTTGATATTGCAGACTGGTTGCTTGAGCAAAAAAGGCTTGTACGACGTTATGAGCGGAGCCGTTAATTACGAATCTGGAAGACAGCCATTCGTAAATGTAGACTTCTTCCTGTTTGCAGTGTTCCAAGCGATAAGATTGGGTGGGAAAAGTGGATTTCATAATGCGGCTCGGGTGGCGATAATAGGGTAGTACTAGTTAATCTTACTGGTACTGCTAAGTGCTACTGGTAGTGGTACCATGCCATGGTACTAATAATGGTAGTGGTAGCGATCACAATACTGCCACCGGTTGTAGTGTTACCGGAAATTATTAGGGACCAGAAAATTGAATAAAATTTAAAAGTAATATTTTTACTTTTTTTTTCCAGGTCAGGATCACGGGAAAGCGCACCGTTCGAGCTTTCAAAAGCAAAAAAGTTTCCGCGCTTTATGATAAAAATTAGAAATTGGCTATTGTCACTCCTTACCACAAAGCCTTTTTGGCTGTGCAAGTGGAAGTTGCATCCAACGCATCATCTTCAGTTTTCCATTCAGTTGAATTCAGCAAAGAAGAGTCGCTGCGCTGCGCACCTAAATTTAACTGACCATCGAGAATATTAGTTTTGTCGGATATTCGTAGCGTTTTGCTCCTGTGCGTTTCCCAGTTGTTTCGTTGTGTGGGCTGTTAACGATAGGATCGTATTTTGTGTTATGGAAGACCCATAATCCGATTGAGCATTCCAGATAAAGTTAGTGCAGCATCTCCAATATATTCGTGCGTACATGTTAGGCGTGCGTTTACGTGTTATACTGGCGATGTGTGGTTACGTATCGATCGCTTTCAAGTGCGTAGACTCATTTTTGGACCTTTTTTTATTTTTTTGTTCATCGGCTGGCTAGTTTTTAATGGTTGGTTTCAGTATATGGAAAAGTATGTTTATGCTGGCGGTAGCCGAGCGCCATCACGCTGCTGTGAAGTTTAAGACGGGCTGCTATCTACTGTCTCGCACACTCGCATTAATATTTAAATGCGAGTTTTTTTTTGGTTTTGTAACTATTTTATTGAGTTTATACAGCTGTTTTAAATGTTATCGTCCCAAGATCGGTGAAGACTGCAATATACAGAAATTTTGTACATAATTCTATTCGCTTTAGAACAAAGGGAGACAGGGCTGACAGCATTCACATATACATTTCCACATAGCTTCGCAATACAAATTGATGGCGGACAGAGTGATGATTAAAATTGTGTTGAATTTGTTTTAACATGATCAGGAAGACTCATGTATCCTGGCACGTAGCGGCCAGTGTTAAGATCAAAAGTTAATCCTTTTTTGAACAAGTTCCGAAAACTCGATTGACCACGGCAAACCCGACAATGGGTGCTGCGCTCACTGTGGGTACCGCCCGTACCGTTGTACTGATGGTAATCTCCACTGCACTGACTAAATCCGTCCACTGCTTGATAGAAAAATAAAGGGGAAACTGGGTCCAGGTTGTCCCATGAAGCACGTGGGAGTTCGCTCAGTTCATTTTGCGCGCTGTGCACCGAATAATTCTGAAATTGGTTATCCCATATCCAACCTTGGCAGCCTGCTTTCTGGATACATTTACCGAGGTCAACCAGCACGGCTAAACTTGGCCAACAGCAGTAGTCTTCAATGTCAATATTCCTTCACAGTAGAGTTTGCCTGTAAGATATGATAGTTAGCGTGATAATAGTGTCAGCCTGAGAGCAAATTAAACGCTTGCATACCTAAACGGTGCTTTCTAGTGGGCACAGTTGTGGCGGCCACTGTGGCACAAGTCGAGGTAACAGTGCCCGCAGTTGTGGTAGTGGCAGGCGTGGTGGTCGTAGTCGTAGTGGAAGTTTCGGTGGCAGTGTTGTCTGTCGACAAATGGACTGTCGGCAGAACGAGGTCATACTGTTGACACAGATCGGTCAAATTGGTCAAGGCGTGTTTCTTTGACAAGCAATCCAATTTCTCTTGTGGGTGTCGAGGTGCATTGTCTCCATATAGGCAGTGGCAAACTGGACACTATTATCAGTATGAAACTGTCGCAAAGGTCATCAAGGCGCAAAAAATGACACTAATGTTTGGTAAAGCTCGAATTATTAAAGTACAAAATCTCGCAAAGCGAAAAACCGTGTAGCTAAGAAATTTTCGAAAACTCATTAGTGCCCTACTTGCGCCGTTTCTTTAGCGTTTATACAATAATGTTCTGAACTAACCATTTTAGCGGCGGTGTTATGTTACGTAATGCCTGGGAATTTTGGAATTCCTGAGTTTCTAAGGCTCGAGTACAAACGATAGTCAAAAGATATCTTACGGTGTAATTGATGTGATGGAGTGTGGTCTCTGTAGAGTGCTCGATATCCACGTCGGTGAAAACCCGCCGTTCATCGTTCTGTACTACCGGTGTTGCATCCCGTAAAACGCAGCCTGGACTGCTGAACGAAGGCGAAAGCACACGGGCCATGTCGCTGTCGTATTTTTCATTGTTGTGAACCATACACTACAACATTACGCAATAAAATACCATATTATATATCCAGGCAGTACTTATGCTAATGGCCCTTCGCAAGTGTAAGTTAGCAAAAAGGAAATCTGAATAAACTCCATGATATAAACGTGTCAGAGCACACTTTAAGCTCAACGGGATAACGGGATACAGGACAAAATGTTCAGGGTGTATTTATTATGACAGAATCAGACTGATGACTTACTTCGTAACGGTAAGCGGTGGATGTCTGGCATGCTTCCGCATACGCTAACAAGAACAGCAACAAGAGCCAAAATATTACCATAATTTCTGCTTCTAAGCAGATTTTGCGTTTTTTGTTCGAATCAGACTAAAAGAAGGCACAGCTATCAGCATTTAAATACCTATGCATTAAGAATATAACTTTGCAGCACGTTCACTGTTCACATCTCCTTAGCATCCATAAATAGTCTTGCTTCTGCCTTTCTTTAGACACAATTTTTGCAGCGGGTGAGATGTTATTTTCAGTATGGTGAAACAAGGTGCGCCTTACAATTAGAACAGAAATTCATAATGTACTGAATGCTGTTTACAACTTTTATTGAACTTTTATTGAATTTAAGTCAGTGAAAAATATGTATCGGGAAGTGACGTGTTTCCTGGCACGAAGCTATGAGAGTCAGGACGGAACGTCAATCCTTTTCTGAACAAGTGCAGAAAAGTCGATTTACCGCGGCAACCCCGGCAATGGGTATTTTCGTCATTGTTGATACCGGTACTGTTCCGATGATATTCCGCAGCGCACTGATCCAAATTTTCTACTGCTAGATCAAGAAGATCAGAGGAAACTGGATCAAGTGTGTCCCAGGAAGCCTGTGGCACTTTCTTTACTTGATCTTTATCTTTTTAGCTGAAAGCAGCAACAAAACCAGATCGCTGTGAGAAAAAAAAAACTGAAGAGAGCCAACGCATCACCGTTACCTAATCACCATAATACCGTCACCGGCATAGAGGCTTGGCGAGTATTGGCCCAAAAGGCATCGGGGAGTCTTTAGATGGTCGAAAAGTATTTGTCAATTTTCAAGCAGTTCAAACAGAGAAGCGGTTTATGTTTACCATGCTTTGCCTTTTTAATTTCTGTGCTATAATCTACAAAATCATAACGGCTGCCAAAAATTTTTATTGACAGTTGGGTATTTGCTTCTAGATTACAATAGCTGATAGAATTCAGTTTCATATTGCGGAAGCACTTGATTGCACTAGTCAATATGTCATTAGTGACACGGCTTAATATGTGAGATGCAGCGCAGACCTGCATGTGGTCACTTTGTCATTATGTCACTAATGACGCATTGCCACCAGCTATCGTGGGTACTCGCGTGGCAGATACCAGCCTTACCACTAGCGGTACTTGTGCATTTGTCATTAAGTAGGTTGCGTTTTGCACGGCCATACGATTAACGG